TCCCATCTCCCTCCCTCCCCTCTTCCCCTCCTGCTCTCTCCCTCTCGCATCTTCACCTTCTTGAAAGTGGCAGAGAAGAGCAGAGTTTGACGATCAGGTCGAATTTGCCCCATGATGCAGTGAATCTGAACCATCAACTTGTCATCCCATCTCCTCCCCCGTCCCACTTTCCCATTCTGCCTTGCCTCATTCTCATCCCCACCCTCGCTCCCTCTCCCTTCTCCCTCCTCGTCCTCCTCCTCCCCAACCCCCATCCTCGTCCTCCCTCCTCGTCCTCGTCCGCCCCTCTTTTTCCTCACTCCTCCTTTTCATCATCCTCATCTCTCTGCTTCCCTTTCCTCGCCCTCGCCCTCCTCCTCATCCTCTTCCTCTTCCTCGCAGCTCACCTGCGGCTCGAACCCCATATCCAGCATCTTGTCTGCTTCATCCAGCACGAGGAACGTGACCCGATGGCAGTTGGTAGCCTGGGCAAAGTCAGAGGCTGAGCTGAGAAGCAGCTGGGGTCGGGAGGCTGTGAGATGAGAAGAAAGTTCACCTTGCTCTTGAGCATGTCGATGAGACGACCAGGAGTGGCGACGACGATCTCAGCTCCCTGAAGTCAAGATGAGAAGACGACAGGACAGGACGAGACAAGACAAGGCAAGGCACGGCACGGCAAGAGGTCAAGACGAGGAGAGGAGATACCTTGAGGAGATCGAGCCTCTGTTCATTCTTTGACGCTCCTCCATAAGCTCCCTGACCAAGACAAGAAGGTCATTTCATCCTCTTATTTTGATTCTCCCTCCCCCTTCCCTCCTCTCTCTCCCCCGCCCCCCTCCCCTCCCCTCCCCTCCCCTCCCCTCCAGCCCCTACCGCCACGCTCGCTCCGCAGCTTTTGGAGAATTTCTTCGCTTCGAGAAAAATCTGCTGGCAGAGCTCGCGGGTGGGGGCAAGGATGCACCTGCTGCATGTCAACCCCCTACCCTCCTTCCTCCCACCCCCCCCCTCCCCCCCCCCTCCCCCCCTTCCCCCCCCCCTTTCCTCTACTCCTCCTCATTCTCCTCCTCTTCTTCCTCTTCCTCCTGCTCCTCCTCCTCCTCCTCCATGACCCCACTCCTCTTTCCTCCAGCTTACCCGATGGGTCCTTCTTTCTCCTGCAGATATTCTTGATCCAGGATGTGGACCTGAGCCAGCGTTTTAAATACTACATCAGAGGAAGCAGCAAGAAAGGAGCAGCAGCAGCAGCAGCAGCAGCAGCAGCAGCAGATTCACCAGCATCGGAAGGATGAATGCAGCTGTCTTTCCCGACCCAGTCTGAGAGATCAAGAACGTGAGTCTTAAATCCCTTCTTTCTCTCCTGCCCCTCCTGCTCGCCTGCTGCCATTCCTGCTTCCTCTTTCCCCCGTCCTCTCCTCTCCTCTCCCTCATATCCATATCATCTGCTCTCCTGCCTTATCTCCCCAACTCCTTCCCTTCTCCCGCACCTTGGCTATGCCGAGAATGTCGCGGCCAGAAAGAGCAGCGGGAAGCGCCTGAACACCAGGCTCACAGATCATATGCAGAGCGGGAGAGGGAGGGACGCGTGGAGATTTAAGAGCAGCAGGGGAGGAGAGAAAGCGCATGTCCTCCTCCTATTCCTCAAGCACCAACAGCAAGAACAGCAGCCTCAAGTCCCCATTATCCCCCCTCTTGCTCACAAGGACAGGAGGAGGAGGAGGAGGAGGAGGAGGAGGAGGAGGAGGAGGAGGAGGAGGAGGAGGAGGAAGCAAGAAGTTCCTGCGACTGGATGGGAGTCGGCGTGCTATATCCGTGCTTGTTGATGTCCTTCATGACCTCTGGAGGGAACCCGCAGTGGTCAAACTTGGTGACCTGCAGGAAGTCGCACGTCAATCGGCATGTGAAGAGCAGGGAGAACGACGGACAGGACGGGGAAGGTCGTCGCCAGAGATGCGGACGTCGAGCTGCTTGCGAAGCTGGATGACCTCCGCCTGATGGGAGAGGGGGAGGAAGACGAGGAGGAAAGAAGACAGGACAGGACGGGGCAGGGCAGGACAGGAAAAGGCAGGTGAGGATGTCAAAGCAAGGCAAGGCACAAGGGTGGTACGATCGGACCTCCGACATGGCAAAGATCTCAGGGTCTTCTTCGTAGAAACATTTCTGCCAGGGGCATCAGGGCAGCGGGGGGGGGGGGGGGGGAAGAGGAGGAAGGACCTCGAAAGGTTTGTAGTCCATCTTTGAATGATCCACCGACCCGTCCAGCTCCTCCATCGCAGTCTGCCAGCCGCCATGTGCCGTCAAACAGCAGCAGGTAGCAGCTGTCCGATACCTTGAGGCTTGGGATGACGGTCCTGGTGGCGTTACTGATAGCCCTGGCCGTCGCGTACACTGCAAGGAGCAGCCGAGTCAGCTTCCTGCCCTCCGCGCTCTCCCCCCTTCCTTCTTCGTCCGAGTCCGCGTCCTCGTTCCCGATGCTCGCGCTCACAACGCTGATGATACACCAGTCAGGAAGTGAATCTCGAACGCCGCAAGTCAACTACCTCACAGATCCCTTCGCTGCTTCCGCCTGGCGCCATGGCAACCCAACGCCAGTCAGCGACAGCCGGCCCGAGCATCCTGACCTTCTTCTTCTCCAACGCGAGCATGTATGCTGTTTCCGGGTCGTCCTCCTACATCCTCATCAGCCTCGAGGATCTGCTAGGATAGCTCGTCCGCGCCACCTCGTCCTGAAACCTGTCGACCTTGGACTGAGTCGGTCTAGCAGGCAACAGGTCAGGCAAGCAGGAGATCTCAAGCTGCTGCTACTTCTTCATCTTCTCCGCGTTGGTCGCCATGAACGCGTCCAACGGGTCCACATCCAGATCAGCAGCAGGCGCGGCTGGAAGGAGGTCAGGAAGGGAAAGACGAGAAGGTAACAGAAGCGTCGGACCAGCTGGAGGTTTGCTGGAGGGTTTGTTTGTCTCGGGTGCATCCTCAAATGCAGCTGGGGTCTGAAGATTCAGTCAGTGGACGCACCAGATCCCATCCTTTGCCCTCACTGGTCCTGCCTTTACGTCCCTTCCTTGCCTACCTCCTCCCTCCGTCATTCTTATACACCTCTCCTCTTCAAAATTTCCCCTCCCCTCCCATCCCATCCCATCCCCTCTCCCCTCCCCTCCCCTCCCCTCCCCTCACCTCACCTCCCCTCCCCTCCCCTCCCCTCACCTCACCTCCCCTCCCCTCCTCTCCTCTCTCCTCTCCTCTCCTCTCCTCTCCTCTCCTCTCCTCTCATCGCTTGCCTTCTTCGCCACCGGCTTCTTCCCTCCGAACGAGAACGCCTTCATGTTTTCCTCCGCAATGTCCTCGTACTCATTTTTTAACTTAACTTTGAGTAAAGAAGTTTTCCTGCGCCGCGGGTCACCGAGTCGGGCCCCGGTAGTCGGAGGGTCGGGTAGCCCGGGCATCACCTCACTGAGTCAGTCCCGCGGCTGTGTCAGAGGCTTCAAGTTTCTCTTCTCGCCGTATACTGTGCCCGGCCAGACTCCCGGCGGCGTGTCCCGCCGCCGGCTGCCCAGTGACTGATTTAGCTTGGCACTGCGGCAATTGGCCGGGGGGGGATGCGTCCGAGCGGCTGTCACAGTGCGCAGTTGGCGTCACCGGCGAGTGAACTTCAGGTGGCCTGCATAACTGAGGGTTGGACTCGGCTCGGATAACTGAGGGTTGGTTCTCCGTGCGGGGGCGACAGTCACGGTCACGGCCCGTCCGATCACCGCGGCGGCGGCCAGCGGCCGGTGTCGGGTGCCACGGCCCGTTGACTACTGGCAGTGGCGCCCGGGCCCGTTCGAGTCGTGACTGGACCGCGCCACTACTAGCGGCGGAGCCGGCGCCGCTTTCATTCAATGTATCGGCAGGCGCCAGTCACAGACCGTACTGTCACGGACGAAGTGCTGGGAGTCAAATGATACTACTGTTTTTTTACTTATATTTTCTGATTTTTTTACACTTGAATCCTACTTGCTAAAAAGAATTGCTTCATTTTTTTCGACTAATAAAATAGTAATTCCTAATTTGTTTTCAAAGTTTGATTCTCTACAGAAGATGTCACAGGTCTATCTCAACTAGAGCCACGTCAGCACGACTCAGACCTCAAGGCTGGTAACTAGCATGTTGCTTCATCCAACTCGCAGGTACGCAAGGCTGAACTGAAGAGCTCCGAGTGGTCTGACCAGAATCTGAGACCAACTGCGGCAGAGTCCCGGTTGCAAGCTGAAGAAGCCATAGGTATGAAACAGCGCTCCGGTAGAAGTTGAAAGCAGGAAGCTTCATATATGGTCTTCAACCATGTCACTCGTTCTGCCAGTGAACTTCTCCCAGCTCCTCGCTTGCAAGCAGCTGGGGGAGATCAATGACTTGAACTTCGGACGCGATCTGAGGACCCTGTGGAAGCCATCTGGTTGGAAGCAGGGGAGGAGCCTACTGATGTGAGGGGTGGTGCTGTGCAGAAGGGAAACAACCGGGTCAAAGACCAAGGACCCTGTGAAGATGACATGGACTCGGAGGAGGTCTCCTGAGCTCTCAAGGACTGATGGACCCTACCTAGTCTGTTACAGCAGATACAACCGGTATGCTTCCCTCTTGCAAGCAGCTGGACGGCAGGCAGATCTTTGTTGTCGACGGGACGCTGACAGCCCAATAATGCGGAGCAACAGAGGAGGCAGCAGGCGAGGAGGCTACACGCCTACGTATCGAATCAGCAGTACAGGAGAAAGGAGGAAGGGAAAGGCGGAAAGGCGTCCTAAGACGAGGCACAGGGACACAACAATCGTCTTGCTTTCAAAATTGATTCTTTTTTCAATTTGTTATACGCGCGCAGTATCTATCAGATCAATCCTATTTTCAGCCTCTATTATGCCGGCCCTTCGCGCTTCTCACCGTCACTGTGTTGCACGTTGGGGTGCGAGCTCAGTCGCCCTCTGCTTCTTTCAGCTCCTGAGCAGTCTTCTCATTCCTGCCATTTCGAGTTGATTGCTTTGCTGAGCCTCGGAGACATCTGTTTGGATTCATCACACAACAAGCACCCATATCTCTCCCGTCATGAGTTGCTTCCTCCTCCCGCCCTCTCATCTTCTGCCCTCACCTCCTCTGCTATCGGTTGCCTCATGTACCACTCCAGCCAACCAGAGTCGATCGGCTCTGCCCCAGCCCCATCCTCCTCAGTCAGCGCTACTGATCCTGTGCGTGACCAGGTTGCCTCTCGGCCTGCTGATTCCTCTGTTGCACTAGATTGTGCTGTCCGTGTTCCGTCGACAAAGACCAAAATGCCGTCCAGCCATCGGGTTCCCTCTCCACTACCTCCTGCTGCCTCTGCTCTTAGTGTGGTGGCTGTTGAGGCTTCAGAGACGCTGGCAGGAGCCTGCGCTCTTCTGCCGCTGTATGGCCACCGGATGCCAAGGGCCTTGCATGCGTTCTTCAAGGCCGTGAGCGATACTCCCTGCAGTACCGAGTGAGCGACGCCAACCTTGACGGGGAAAAGAGTTGCGAGAGTATAGCAGTGTACAGACGGAGAGAATTGGAGGGAGTGGATGATGACGATGATGACGATGAGGATGAGGACGAGCAGCAGCAGGAGCAGCAGCAGGAGCAGCAGCAGGAGCAGCAGCAGGAGCAGCAGCAGCAGCAGCAGCAGCAGCAGGAGCAGCAGCAGCTGGAGGAAGAGGGCCTTACAAGGGTGTCGGCGGCATCGGCCTGTCGGAGGTGAAAATGGCGCTGGATGGTAGGCTGATCGAGGTGGACCGCACGGGCTCGGTTAGTCGAAGACGCGGGCAGCTGGGATGGACGCTGACGGGTGCGGATGACGTAAGAGGGCTCCATAGAGCTGAAGCTTGAGGGAAAGATGTGTTTGAAGGAATGAAATGGAATCGCAGAGAAGGAGATGAAGGAGGAAGAGGCGATGGAGGAGGATGAGGAGGAGATGAAGGAGGACAAGGACGAGATGAAGGAGGACGAGGCGATGGAGGAGGATAAGGACGAGATGAAGGAGGATGGAGGAGGCGATGGAGGAGGACGAGGAGGACAAGCTCGGACGAGGACGAGGACAAGGATGTTGAAACCCACAAAAATGTTTTAGCCAGGTATACATTCAGGGTACCCCCGCAAGGGGTTCAAACCACAAGGAGAAAAGGCTGTGAGGAACAGGTCCCCCATAAGCCCCCATCCCGGATAAAATACTTTTATGCTCCAGTAGTAAACTCCAACGTGAAATCTAGACATGTCATAAAGCCAGTCATGATCGCTACTCCCCTCGAGCCTTCAGGGCGGCCCCGGTACCGTGACTGTGACGCACACACAGTCACACCGTGGTACCGTGACGGTTCAATTTGTGACAGTGACTCAGGCGGGTCCTGCAGTGCCCCAGTGCCGCAGCCGCTGAGCCGGCGGACTTAACTTTGACTCTGTAAATCTGTCACGGTTGAGGGAGTGGGTCGGGGGGGAATCGTCCTGCGCGCAATTAAAACTGAAGGTACGGTATCAGTTAACGGTTTGCCCTGGGGGACAGCAGTGCGGCAGGATTGGGTTTAGTTCTCGCTGTCTTTTCTCTTCTCGCCGTTTGGCCTGTGCGACAGTGTCAGGGTCAAGCCTCCTCGACTCTCCTGATTGTCCTCGTACTGATTTT